AAGGCTTATTTCAATGTATAATATTCTAAAAATGTAATTGAAATAATCAAGTGTTTCTCCACATTTTCAATAAATTTCAAAATAGCTGAATATTTTCCCAATCTGCTTTCTGTAAGAGAATGTGTATTATTATAGTTCTAACATTTAAAGAGTTCCACCAAAAAAAAAAAAAAAGCCAGCTAAGTGATTTGGAAAATTCAATGGTATTAACATGATATTCTTCACACTAAACTATAAAACTGACAAGCCCCCACCCCACCCCCCCAAAACCTCTTACTTCAATCACTGGCAAATTAACAAAGTTAACAATATGAATAAAATAGATCACATCAGGCTTTGGTTCTAAAAGGGAAAAACCACAGAGTTTAAAAATACAGTCACTGCGAATATTCTCACTGTTCTGATTTTGTAATAATTAGGGCAGGTCAAATGTTCACTATGTTAAGACCCGTGCATGTGTTCCCAGATCTAGTTCTTTACCTAGGTCTGGTTTTATAAATGCTGGTGATAAACCAAGTCCAATTTATATGTTGCATCTTGTGTGAGAAATGTCTGTGACTCTAGGTATCTGATCAACCTTGAGAAATGGCAGCACAGCTAGTGTGATAACTTTTGAAGACAACCATTGCTAGTTTGATGATAACCAGTTACCATTAAATGAATTGAAAAATTATTGTGTTTTATTTTCTAGGTGATTCTGATATCATTAAAAGACTGGAACAAACTGGTGAAAAGTAAATCGTGTACAGTTTTTCTTTTTAATAAAACTGGTTGGAGCTTGTTTTGTTTTAAATTACAGTCATTGGTTATCTCTATAACCTGTAGAGGGCACTCAAGTCCCTTGAAAGAAAAAGTAAAAAATTTAAGAGGTTTTCATTATTTATTAGTAGTTTGTTAACTAAACAATCTGTTTTTCTTCTATAGAAACCATTATTTAAAAAGAAGACATTTAAACAAAACATAGCTTCATTTTAAATGTTTAATGGACTATTAAGATATACAAATTTTCACATGTCCTATTGGAAAAACAATTTAGCAGGTGGTTTCCATTCCAGGACATCTGTCCATCTGTAAATGCTGTGCATCAAATATTAAACACTACACTGCCATCAATTACACAGACTGGCCAAGGCCTGAGAGAAGTCAATCTGGACCTCAGAATAATCTGCTTTCAAAGCAGTAAACTAGTAATACAGGTAAGGCATTCCACTGCTCCAACCTATTTATGGACAATAATGTTATCATATCCATAAAACAGCTGTTGATAATAATAGTTGAGAAACTTTCAACTCATACTAGTTTTAACCATTTTATAAGAGCAACCTCAAGAGTTCTTTGGCAATACTCATTTTATGCTTCTCTTCATTACTACTAAGTGTGGTGAGATGGAAGATATTTGAATATTTGACTTCGAATATTCTTCTTCCTGACACGTTAATGAATTATTTCATAGGGAAACCTTCCAAGTTGGACACACTAACATCTAATTATATAAACACAAGCACATAAACATCTATGCTTTATATATATTCTTTCTCTGATAGCATATTTCAAAATATATTGCAATGTTAACTAAAAATTTATATATATATATAAATTTATATATATATATAATTATTAAAAATACTATTGTAGTTTCTTAGCAACATGGTCAGGGATCCTGCCTTCTATCTTATATTTTTTATGATCCTCAGTTTTACCATGATTAAGTAACTTGCTATTAAAAGATATTCAGAAAGTTTAGTTATCAAATTCAAATTAGAGATGCTCATTTGGCACCAACGTATGTTAGATATGCCTTTATTTGAGTCACTGTTTCTATTTAGAAATTGGAATATAAAAGTCTGAGCCAAAAAGATGTGTAAGAAAATTATACAAATATATAACCTACAAATTGATACCAGAATAATGAACAACTATAAAGCGTTTAAAAAAGCTTTGTCTATAATAATAACACTAGTCATTAAGAATTTACTATTTAAAAACAAATTTTGTTATTCATCATTGTCTCTACTTTTAAGGTTCTCAAAATATACTCGAGAGATAAATCTCCAAATTTGACATCTGGCAAGGTAAACACTGATACCGATATAGATAATAGTCTTACAAAGTGAATTTTTTAAGAAATCTAGCATGAAACATCTTACAAGTTTACCCTTCAAATACTGTACATATTTTCATAGAATATTTCAAAGGTGAGAGTTATGGAAGAAGGATACCCAGTTAAGCAAGAAAAAGGCAGAAAAATTAGTAAAACAGTAAGCAATACTGTGGAAAAGTTATTTTGATAAATTTAAAATAATGAGTTTGAAGTATTTTTGTAGTGGTATCTTTCTTTATGAAAAAGATCTGATTCATGATGGGAACATAAGCTTTTTCCTCAAGAAAGGATGAAGTTAAATAAAGCTCTGAAATCAGAAGTCTTAAGATGAGTAATTGTATATCGTGACGTGTTTTCCCCATTGGATTTACCACATTCCATGACAGTTTTTAATGGGGGCGGATGGGGAGAAACTGAAGTTTCTTAAAATAGAAGCATTTCTCCTAGCCTAAGCTGCAGCTTTGATTTTTGGGTTATCGCAGGGCCAATGTATATACACTCTAGTATATGAAACAAAACTAGAAGATATACTTAGAATGTAGTCTTTGTTACTTCAAAGCCTAAGTTTCCTAAAATCATTGTTGGGCAAAGTAAAAAGAAACGTTTGTTCTATTACATAAGAAATAAACTTCATTTGGTATTCAATTGACTTTCTAACTTAGCAGGCAGGACTTTTACATCTTCAAATACTGAAAATAAATTGCATTCTTGGCCCTTGCTTTAAAAGGTTATGGAGAATAAATGCACACCCTGGTAGTGTTCTAGTGATCTCCCTAATCTCAGTTGCACTTTGTCAGAACGAGGTAACTGGTAGTTAAGTGAAATACCCTAGATCAAAGGGGGATTAATCACCAACTGAATCCTTGCTGAATAAACCTGTCATTCAAGAAAATTATTTCCACTGAACTTAGCAGAGGATTGAAGGTATTTGCATAACAGGGACCAACGTACTTCAGCCAGGTTAAAAGGTTCAGAATTCATCCCATGTTTAGCTTTTTGCCTCCTTTTCCTTTCAGCAGGCTGGTACAATGGTTTCTAATCTGATAATACAGCTAACTATCTAAATGATGTCAGAACAGGAAAGTATTGCAAAGTTTGGATGAGGGATGGATCAATTTCACTTTCAGTAACTCCTAAATCTGATTTGTTGGAATTTAAGATGTAATCCTAAAAAAGTCCCTTAAACCTGAGGGCTGTTTATTAACATCCCTTTTCTGACCTTTGTCTTAGAAACAACCATTGTGCTGTGGCAGCGGTCCCAGCAGAGACTCTAGATGATAACTAGACCTACCTACCTCCCAGGGGTGGTGCAGGAGTCCATGAATGTCTATAAAGGATTCTGAAATACGACAATAAAAACTAGAAGAAAAATACTAGCGTTGTTCTATGTATAAAATTGTGCTTTGAAACACCTTAAACCATATGATGTATAAAACTACAGTTTTAACTCACTAGAAATACTGAGTTAGTGTGAATAAATTAATTTTATAAGACTAATGTTTAATTAAAATTTTTTAAACAAATAATTTAAGAATCCCTGACACGTTGTTTACTTCAAACCTGACATTTGAATTAATTATTTAAAAAGTAAAAGGTAAAAACTGCCCACCACTGTGAGGGGACTGACTTACACTGTAAGGGTACTGCTGACTTTAAAAAAGTTTAAAAAACACTGTTTGTAAGAAATGAAGAGTTTTATCAAAATCATGAACTATCTTTTCTGGAGTACATTTTCAGAAATTTAACACTTTTTGTATATTTTGGGTCTACTGAAGAATAATCACTCATATGATAGACACCAGATTTCATAATCATATTTTGGCACTAAAAGGGAATTTAGCAATTCTGCCTCTGGAGTAGGTCTGACACCATCCAAATCTTCAACTGGAAGTAGGTGCTCATATTCAGTGCAAATGCACAACATCTTTCAAGTTAAAAAATGCAAAGAATAGTTATCAAAGAAAATGAATAAAATCCATAGTGGGATAATTTTTTAGAAAATGATTGAAGTTTTAACCCAAGAAAGGACTCTTAGAGTGTCTTATAGCTTAGAATAAGAACATGTCAATCACGATTAAGCTTCTGGAATCGGAATCCCTTTGAAATGCAGCTGTTTCTTCTTTAATTGTGGCAGCGGACTCTGAAGAAAAGAAAGGTCCAGCCTTAAAGATGAGTAAGGAATACAAAATAGCTCAGGATTAGTTGTGGAGTTCAAAGGTCGCTAATTACACTAAGGAGTTCCCAGACACAGAGAAAACATTAAACAGGTCACCTACCAAACGGGAAACAGACTTTGTCTTCAGAAATTATCCTGAAGTGACAGGTTTCTAGACAAAATCAAAAGCATCACAGTGTGCCCAGCTGATCTCAACAGGATGAAAACATGAGTTAGTTTAAGTTCTGTAGCGGTATGTTAGAATGGAATGGCAACAGATGGCATCAGGTTCCCCATCGTCCCTATACTCCTCCAGTACTTCTTAGATTTTCCTCAGGTTTCTAGAAATGTCAGAGCAAAGATTCACTGGTTTTTCCAATTGCTTATACAGTTTTACCTAGGGGTTCATTATATGGAATCTCAGCCCACTCACTAGAGAAATGCCTCTTCCCTGTTTTATACTTGGATAAACATTTATACAATCAAGATGTACAAATAGCTCCATTAATAAGTGAAATGTTAAACTTTGCTTGAGTTTAAGAGATTAAAAAAACTTAAGGGAAATGATTTCTTCTTTCAAAAGGAAAGTTTTTTACTACTGATTATCTGTGATTAGCCTAGAATAACAAGCTAAAGTCCTGGTCTGGAATTAACTCTATTTTCATTACTTGGGATAATTTTGAACATAGAACATTATGCCATAATGCTTTGCAGAAAAGGAATTTATAATGAGTAGGACCGACCTTAATTTTATTTATTTATTTTTGACCTTAATTTTAAAAATCATATTTCAAATCCTAAATTAATATGCAATCTCATTTCAAAGTATCATAGCTTTCACGAAGTTCGCAGCTTTTTCTAAGCTTTTCCTTAAGAGACTCATAAAAAAGAAACCAAGATACAATTTAACTGAATATTAATTTGTGATGCATATTTTTTATAACTCTTCTGTTCTGTAAAAAGAAACTTGACATGGAGTAAGTTTTGAGGATCTTGAGATTTCATCTTTTCTTGCATTTCATCCTTCCTTTAAAGTCCAACTTGACAATAAGCTACTATGAAAACAGAATGTGATATATAATTGTAAAAACAGGTAGAGGATAGAGTATGACTGGATGGTTCCTAAAGAAACCCAGAGCATGCCAATAAGGAAACAAGAGTGACAGCTGTAAAGACAATGTGCTACATGAAACTGAAATAAGATTAAGTGGTACTTTACACCCATAAAATAGTTTTTGAATTTTAACCTGAATTCATCCATTAATGAATTATAATAAAACAGAGAAAAACCAATACTATATCTAAATTTATCTTTAAAAATTTGGCTGCAGATATTCAGTAATCACAAAACACTATGCTCATCTTCAGAAGGTATCCCACACCTCTTAATATGCTTACTGACATCCTAAAAAAGATGTTACTGTTGCAGCTTAATAAGTTTGCCTGAAAAGTAACTCCAGAACAGAGATAAGCACTGTAAATAGAATTATGCAGATTCTTTATTAGTCAGTAGGATAGTTCTTATTAAAAACAGGTTACTATTTAAATGATTTTCCTTCATTTTCATTGGCTATTTTCTCAAGAGATTTACAGTTGTTTCTAATGTGTTGTCTGGTATTCTGTTACAAAGCATTGTACTAGCACTTAGTACTCAGGTTTGCAAGAGCAAATAGTTTTTTTTTATCTTACACGTCATCTACAATTTATTGGGAGTGGCAGCCTGCAGCTCTGTACTGAGAAGGAGCCTGATTCCAAATCCAGGAATGCCCAATGGAGAAAGAGGGCTGCGATTGATTAGCCATGTCTGCCACAGGGGCAGGAAGAAGCACATATGGCAAGCAAAGTCAAGACTAGTCTAAAATGAGATGAAAGTGAATCACTAGATTTTATGCTCTGAATCATACTTAAGTAAAATCAAGGGAAAAAAAACTGGATATATTAGTTTTTAAAATGTTCTTTCAAACTAAATCAGACTAAAAACATTGAACAAGAAAAATTTATAATTAAATAAATGATTTTCAATTACAGGTTATGTGCATATGCATTAAAAATAAAAGACTATGATTTAACTTGTTACTAGTGTATAAATCCCATTTAAACATGAGACAATTACAGTAATAATGATCCATATGTTACTGGAGCAGGAGCTTTAGAATTCCAGATGTAATAGTCAGAAGAAATTAGCTTCCGGTCTAAAAAAAAAGATAAAAGATTATATTAACAAAAATTCAGTGAGAAAACAAAGTCATGGTATTTAAAATTTTGGAACACATTTATTTCAAGGAAGGAAATTCTTGGAGACAGTCATTTCAATTCAGTTTTTATCAAGGCATTATTATAACTTTTACCACTTTAAAAGTATGGGTTTATTAAATGCATGAATAATCCATCTTTTAGCCTATATATGCCAAATTTATGCTGATATCCCTCATGCTAAACCTGCTAATTTTTTCCTCACATCTTCCCTAAATTCTGTTTCTTATAGACCATTACTTCAGCTACAAAAACATTAAAAATATTTTTATTGGTTTCCTTCTGTAACCTCTCCATCACAGTCCTGAGTCTATTCTTGCTATTCTTTATGCAAGTTTCATAGACAGAAATACATTCTCAACTTTCCAGTAATGTTTTACAAAGGTTGCTTTAGTCGTTTCTTATAGTTCTGATCAGATTTAAGGTTTCTGTTTTAATAGTTTTGAACAAATGACAACTTCTTTCAATTAAAGGTTTTTGACATGTAAAACTGAGATGATAATGCTCGTTTGGAGCTGCTGCTGCTGCTGCTGCGTCACTTCAGTCGTGTGTGACTCTGTGCGACTCCATAGACAGCAGCCCACCAGACTCCCCCGTCCCTGGGATTCTCCAGGCAAGAACACTGGAGTGGGTTGCCATTTCCTTCTCCAATGCATGAAAGTGAAAAGTGAAAAGTGAAAGTGAAGTCACTCAGTCGTGTCCAACTCCTAGCGACCCCATGGACTGAAGCCTACCAGGTCCCTCTGTCCATGGGATTTTCCAGACAAGGGTACTGGAGGGGGGTGCCATTGCCTTCTCCACGTTTGGAGCTAGACATATATAAATTCTTATTCCATACATCTCTATTTATCCAATCCTGCCTTTTCTACAATACCTCTTCATGCATCTTCTTCATAATGAAAAGGATAAGTGTACGACACTGGCTGCTACTGTCCATGGGGTCACAAAGAGTTGGACACCACTGGGTGACTGAAAAACAACAATGATACATTACCTTGTTGCCTTTTTCCATTGTTACTTCAGTTTGAGAATCTAGTAACACTGAGAGGCAACAGCATGTTGGTTAGGTGGTCAGGCTCTAGTGACTAACTGCTTGGATTGGAGTCCATTTCGCCACTTACTAGCTATGTGATCCTAATCTCTCTGTTCCATCAGCATCCTCATCCCCAAATGGAGATAACACTTACATAGGGCATTCTAAGGATTAATGGGTTAGCCCGTACTCAGAACTATGCCTGGCACATAGTAAGCAATCAAGATTAGTTATTATTATTTAAATTACCATTATTAAACTACTATCAGAACTAAGTTGTATATTATGAATATAGATTTTCTTGTCAAGATGATGGCAAAATAAAGTTTCTCACATAGCTGCACAAAGTGATAGCTATATTTTGAAACTAAAAGATGGAAATAAAAGATTGGTTATAATTATCCATTTAAAATAACCTCTTTCATTCATATATTAAGAAGCAGGTATATTACTGAAACATTCCATTCTGTATTATGCTCTCTGAAAATTACTACAATGTTTAGTAATATTAACAATATACTTATTGCTTAAAATATTTTAGATTTTATCTAAAGAGACAACTATTTCCCATAGAAACACTGGTCTATTTATATTTAGACAATACTTCTGGTTTGTCCAAACTGACAACTATACTATGCCTTCAAAAAAATTTTTAAAAAAGCATTATGAAGATTCTTTCATATGTATGAATTTCTTAAAAAATAAAACAAAACAAAAAGTGGTACAGGAGAAAGCACAGGGAAAACCTACGGCAGTAAAGAATATGGCTTATTCTGATTAGACCTCACAGAATTTATTACTTCCATTCACAAGTAATTGCCTAGAATTCAGCAGTTCTGAGTTCGATAATCTTTTGAAACTTTCAAATTATAAAGTCTTGTCCTATCTTTCCTACTTTAAGGACCCTAACCCTTAGTTTAAGATTGTTGTTTTTCAGCTGCTAACTTGGGTCCAACTCTTTGTGACCCCATGGACTGCAGTCCACCAGGTTCCTCTGTCCACGTGGTTTTCCAGACAAGAATATTACAGTGGGATGCAATTTCCTTCTCCAGGGTATCTTTCGCAACCAGGGATTGAACCCGCATCTCCTGCATTGGCGGGTAGATTCTTTACCACTGAATCACCAGAGAAGCCCTGATGCTTTAGATATACTTATCTAAATATGACAGTTTTATTCTTAACATATGAGGCAAAAAGGTTTCTACTTACGTTCTGCTAACTCTGCCCTCATTCTAATGACTTGTTTGCTTTATGCCATATGTCTGTATTTGACCCAAATTAAAGTCTTAATAATTTTAATTAAATTGCTGTTTACCTATATTTTCATGTATGTGTTTATATATATATAAAACACTATATATATATGAAACACATACATATATATGTAAAAACTAACAAACTCACTAAAGGCAGGAAACTTTCTATTGCTCTCCTTCTGGTAAAGCAGGGTACTAAGTAATGGTCACTGACTATGACACTGGCTAAAAATATTTCAAATTTTAATACTAATACTTAATATTTATTGAATCCATGCTACATGCTAAATATTATGTTGAGTGCTTGATCAATATAAGTTTTATTTAAACGTCATAACAATCCTGACATAAATACTACTACTAATTCCAATTTATACATGAGGAAATGAAAACTTTACGAAGTTTACTAACTTGCCCAAGAGTCAAAGAGTATATTATAAACTGAGCAAAGCAAGTTCAACTTTAGACTAGAGCCCTCTATGTCAATCCTTGCTCATTCAGACCACTTTATAAATAGGAGAAGGCAGAGGGCAATGTACATAACCTATTAACACAGGATGGATTAGGCCAGAATTTTTATAAATTGGGATTATCTTCTGATCTTTTTCTTTCACATTTTAATTTTATCTTAGTTAATAATAACATAACACCACTTTAATTCCCCCAAGTTGGCTTGAATCTGTACAACTTACGTGTACTTATTTTTGGTTTCCCCGATGCAAAAACTTGAACCGAATGCTGATCAACATAACATCCAGTGAGTGTGTAATCTAAGATCCTAAAATGAAGCTAGAACAAGAAGAGAAATGTACCAAGTTAAGGTGATTATTTGGTAAAAATGATGGTCACATTTTTTGACACAATTTTAGGAATTTATTTCACACAATTCACAAAATAAAAATCACAAATAATATTGTTTATGTGTGCGTATATACACATGTGTACATATGGACACATATACACTATCTTTCCATTTTACATTAGAGTCATTTCTTTGTAAGGCTGCCATTATGAAGTGCTTAACACATACCAGGCCCATCATTAATATACAGTCTAATCTACACTGCAAGTTATCTGTATTCCACAAACCAGGGAACCAAGGTTCAGAGACGGAAATATGTAGGTGGTAGAGCTGGCACCTGAACTCAGAACTGACTGACTGCAAACGTTGCTGGTCCTTCCCGGGGGTGTCTGTTGTTCTGTGTGTTCTCTTCTATCTCTAAGACTGGGTGATTGTGACATAGTTCAGATCATAATACTTTTACACACCTTTTAGCCAAACACAAGCATGTAATTACTAAAAAGGGAACAGGAGTTTATTTGGTTTTGGAGGGAATAAAATGCTCCACTTAATTTTTCAGAAAACTAAAATTTAACTTACATAGAACTAACTTTTCTAAAATGTAATCAATGAATGTAATGAATGAATGTAAGTTCCTGAATTTAACTGATCATGTAGTGTCATTAGTATGGTGCCAGTTAATATATTGTGCTATAACAGAGAGGGCCATTAGTACCTTCTCTGAAGGCATAGTGATAGCCACATAAACTATGAAAGGTCTATCACAGACCAGCCTTCTTTTGTTGTGATTCTCCTTACCTTTGCTGCTAAAAGCTTTTGAATTTGCAATAACCTGATAGTTTTCCTATACTTTTTTCTTTCTTCTTTCCCTGGATATTTCTCTCATTTCCTATCTTTCTTCTTTTGATTGTCAAACTAACTGATCACATGCATAGATGTAATTTTCAGGTCTCCTCAGCAATTTTTTCCTCTATTGCCACTCAAATTATCTAACAGTAAAGGGCTCTGGCTTCCTTGTTTGGCATAATTCTGGATGCTGGAAGTTATGACAAGGCAGATTTCCACAAAACTAGCTGTTATAAAAATAAATTTATTTGGTGAATACAAATACCTATTACATGCTTTCTACGACACTGTTACTTTTTATGTAACTGGTTAGGTGATAAAAATGAATAGAAAAGTTACAGTCCCTATCTTTGAAAAAACATATAGTTAACATCCCACTTTTTTTTTTCTGAAAAACATACAGAAGTGGGAATTTTTTTTAATCATCATTGAAACAAACCTTCTGGACACAGTTGAAGTCAATACAGAAGAAATACCATCAGTGTACTTCTGATTTCACAACTATTTCCCCTAGTCACTTTTATGTATAGATTGAAATCTATCTTCTTTGATTTCTTTGATACTATTCTATTTAGATTTTCCTGCTACCTTTCTGACCACCTTTTCACTTTCCTTCACTGATTCTCCTGAATCTTCCTATTTTCTCTTATCTTTTTCTGACCTTATTCATTTCAACTGCCTCAACTATTTCTTTTCCGTGGATAACTCCTAGATCCTAAGAATAGCTGAGCTTTCTCTTAAGAATCAACTTTAGATTTTTTAGCCCCTACTAGATACCCACCTTGGTATAAGTTGCTATTACCTGCAACAATGTGATATGAAGCCCACTCCCTCTCAACTTTCTCTATACTTCTTCTAAGAAATAGAACTTTCTTTGAAGTATGTTTATCCATTCATCAAATATTTATGTGTGAGGTACTGAACTAGATGCTCAGAATAGAATAATGAATGAATGAGATTCACATGGTCTCTGCTCTCCGGGAGCTTCAAGTCTGGTTTGTTGTTGTTTAGTCACTCAGTTGTGTCTGACTCTTTTGTGACCTCACGGACTGTAGCCTGCCAGGCTCTTTTGTCCATGGGATTTCCCAGGCAAGAATACTAGAGTATGTTGCCATTTCCTCCTCCAGGAGTGCTTCTCGACCCAGGGATCAAACGTATGTCTCTTGTGTCTCCTGCACTAGCCAGACAGATCCTTTACCATTGAGCCACTTGGGAAGCCCCTGTTTTAAGTCATAATTTTTTTTAATGACACCATCTTTGACTTAAAACTATTTCTTATCTTTCTACTTAAGTAGTGAGATTAAAGGATTTACCCTTATCACAGCTCTATTCTTTTTTTTCCCTTTCTTTCTCTTTCTGTGACACTAAACTAGCTCAGCATCATTTATTTATCAACTTCCATCTGAAATATTAAAAAAGTTTGTCTCTAGCTTTTTTCCTTTCTCATCTTCTTCACATCCATCTCAGGCTGATCCTTATAAAGTACCACTTTCTGAAGGGACCACTCCCATATTCAAAAAAAGTATAACATTTTCTAACAAGCAGTGAAAGCCAGATTCAAACCTTCCATAGTCCAGACCTAAATCACTTATCCAGCCTTCTGTGTGACTACTGTTTCTAGCACGGGTTCCTAAATATGCCTAGTTATCCTTCATTTTCATGATTAAACCATGTCTTTACCTATACAAATGTTAGTCCATCTTCAAGGCTTCATAGTCATGCTCATCTGGGCCTCAGAGTTTTCCTTAAAGTTCATTGCTACTACAAAGTTTTCCATGACCACTTTGGTTGGAAAAGCTTAGTCTTTTTTTGAAAGTCCAAAAGTAGGCAGTCCTGATTTACTGACAAACATCACTGAAAAATCCATAGAGTGCCAAGACTGTATCTTACATTCTTTGTATACAAATCTCAAATGTGGTATCTTAAGAGCTGGGTAGAAAGAAGTTAAATTGAAGTGTTTTAAATTTTACATAATTCTTTCACCTTAAAATATTAAAGTATTACGTGAAATAGAAAGTGATTAATAAACAGAATTTTACTAAAATCTAGAATTCCTACCACCAAAAGGATTAGAAAACATTAAAAATCAATTAGATACATGCACTTCAGAAACAAAAGAAAGATCTCTAATGTAGTGAGCCATATAAATATATTTACCTTTAAATATGCTGTACCTCCAATGCAAATCTGGTCAAATGGCTGCTTTTCATGGTTCTTGGCTCCAAAAGTTACAGTACCAGAAAGACTAATTTCCATTGATTTGGGAAACTTCTGTCCTAAAAACAGAAATACACCAATCAACTATTATAAATTAAATAGGTTCTATAGCAAATGAATGAAAGAAAAAAAAAAACAAAACCTAGATTACCAATAATCCAGACCAATAAGCTTTTCTCTCGAAATACTTCAAGCTGGCCAAAACTAGCTTTGTATTCCACATGTGTGATGGGACCTCTTTAAAAAAGAAATGGAGATAATGGGGAAAAAAAAATCACAGATTTAAGTTTGAAGAGATGTATGTCAAATCTTGCTACTGTCGCTTAATACAAGGACAACATAAAGCAGATCTGCATTTAAGTTTGCAGAATAGAGCAGAATAAATAATGAGTATCGTATCTCAAAAAACAGAGAAACACAATAAACTTTTTTGGTGATGCTATACATTTCATTATTAATTCTAAAGATGACTACAAAGTCATACAGAATGTATTAATACAGGCACATGAATTGACATAACATGAAAACTATGAATTTTTACTATATAGTATGTAGCCTTTGAAAAGAACTATGCTGTAGAACAAATTTAAAAGTAGAACTCGTAAGGAAAAATCTTGCAATTAACTTAATTCACCAGGTTTTATCATTGGCTTAACTTATTAATATAGGTACAGTGCAGAGAAACTGCTAGAAATAAAGCCAGTAGAAAAATAATCCCCGAGGAAGCTATACTGGCTGAAGCTTATAATTTACTAGCAAATTTAACCAAAAAATGGTGACATTTAAAAACAAAGAGATTATTTTTATGACTATGTTTTAGTTCAGAATCAACATATATTTGAATAACACAAAATTTTTAAATCTTAAAAATAAGGTAAAAATTAAGACAACTTTATTACAGGGCAGTGCGAATGTACTGAAGAAGGCAGAAATCATGGCATCGTGTAATTTTATTCCTACCTGTTGTAAAAAGGTATATGAGCTTCACAGAATTCAAAACTATTTTTCACACTTTCATGAAGTTTTAAATTAACTGCTATCTTTAGTTGTACTTCTTCTTCTTTCACTTGATAAAAACCCAAAATTGGTGGAACAGGGACCTGGAAACAAAACAAAGACATTTTTTACATGATTCTCAAGTTAATGGGTCTAAAATGCCAATGGTGACTGAGGAAAGAGCTGTGCAGTAATATAGTCATTATATACACATACGCCTTTAATGACTAATAGGTTACTCCAAGTCATCCTGACAATAGATGATGGAGCAACATTCCTTCTAAGAACAGGGATTCTTCCATCTCATTCCATTTCCAGAAAGGTACCTTACAAAGGTGTGTGATACATTCTTTTTCCTACTCTTGCTTGTCCAGGTTCTCCTCCTCCGGGTGCTCTATGACGTACAACACAGAACATGCACTAGACATACTGACCCCTGACCCCTGCCCATAGTCCCTGCTTCTATCTTCACTCCCCCACCCTCCCAGGTCAGCAGTTACTTAAGTTGGTCATGAAAAAGCTGATTAAGGGGAAACAATCTGAATCTTCTGGTAAGTAACTCATGAAAAGGTTTTGTTTGGACCAAAAGTATGGTGATTTCCTAGCAACACAATTCATAGATATAAAGATTACCAAAGTGCCAACTTTTCCAAGGTTGCTTACCTGGGAAGTGTAGTAGCATAAGTTGAATGACTCTAATGGTGGAGTGAGCGGAAATTTGTACGGTCCACTAAATGCAGAATCATCCATTGCATCAATGCTACTAGAAGTCAGAATGGCAGAGTCAAGAGACGTCACACACGGATGAACCAGAATATCCTGAAGTGGAGATCCATTGGTAGGGAGACTCAAGCTAATGGTAACATTTGGCATGCTTCCCTCTAGATCACACTGCAACAAAACAGGTATCACCGAGAGCTTTCAAGAAGTCATCTTCTGGATGAGGCTTTTCTTAATTTATCTGAGGCACTTTTCGCAACTTAACTCACTTTTCTTTCAAGGAATTATTCTCATTGCCTTCTGTGTTCTAGATAACGATTCTATTATGCTCTCAGACACCCAAGCCAGAGACCAGGAGAGCCTTCCTAGAACCCTCTGCTTACATTTAAAATCCTTAAAAAACTACTTTTCTCTATTCATGTTACAAAAAATATTTCTGTCACAGCCCTCTAAGTGTATCTAGACTCACTTTCCTCTAATCAATAGATTCTCCATCAATGCCAAAGCTATCTTAATAAGATAATTCTAATTCTATTGTACCCATGTCAAAACCTCTTAATAGTTGCCCCTCAGTTTTATATTACTTTTAAAGCCTTTTGCTATTTGGTTCCCACCTATTTCTTTAACCATTTTCTACCCCACAAGTAATGCTCTAGACTTACTGGGTTCTTGAATTTACCTGAATAAATCATATCTTGTATCTACACTTTTGTATGTGCTATTCCCTCCAGCAACAATGCTCTTTTCTTCTTAAAAAGTCAATTCATTACATGCGTTGTGTGAGGCCTTATATTCTGTATTGTCACCTCTGTGGCCTACCTTTGTTATGCAGAGAAGCCCAGGACCTTCTTCCCTATGTGGACTGGGTTAGTTTGCCAATGAGAGGTACTCATGAGAGATTTAGGAGATAGAAGGGAAAGGGAAGTCATTATAGTAGGAAAGTCATGGAAACCAGATATGATAGCTTCACAGACCTCACTCTGAGCTCTGCTTGAAGGCAGTGGTGGCCAGACACCGCACTTTCACAGACTTTTCCATGAACTGCTGCTTTGGGGTCGTAACAGATATGGTTGCTTTCCCGTGAACTCTGGCTTCTCTGTCTATCCTCGTCTCTAGGCTGGAGTCATTAGTGACTGCCAGAGGGTCAGAGACTTACTCTCTCAGCTCCTCTTATATTTGAGTAAACAAACCCTCATTCCTATACTAAACATCATGATCATCTATCTGTATTAGACCAAGAATAGGAGCCAATTCAAAATTTCCAGAAGCATAAAACTTGGGTCAGTCTACCAAAGAGTTATTTAAATACCATGATATGAATTAGTATTAAATTATATATAACATATTCCCCGTTCATTACCACAGAATGAAAAAACACATAGTGAATTTCCCTACTTTTATTTCACAGAACTTAAGAGAGAAGTGCATTCAACAACTTTAAGAGGTGTGAATGACATAATCTGCAAACACCTTAAGTTGGAGACATTTATGATAATTATTTCCATTAAAATTAATAACTGGAATGTATTTTTGACCATAATAGAAGAGAGTGTAAGGCAAACACATACATTTTTAGGTCACTTTAAGGTTAAAAGGGGCTTCCAACATGGTGCTAGTGGTAAAGAACTCATTTGTCAATAAAGGGAAAGTAAGAGATTCAGATACAATCCCTGGGTTGGGAAGATCCCCTGAAAGAGGGCATGGAAACCCATCCCAGTATTCTTGTTTGGAGAATCTCATGGACAGAGGAGCCAGGTGGGCTATGGTCCATAAGATCTCAAAGAGTCAGAGTTGGACACAACTGAAGTGACTTTGCTCGCACACAAGGTTAAAAAGAAAAATAAAGACTCAATTTGTCTGCCAGAACTGTTTTAATTCTCTGTTCTTGAAATCTACTTTTTATCTATTAGATTTTTACATAGCTACTCAACATTAATATGGGCTTCCCGTATAGTTCAGTTGGTAGAGAATCTGCCTGCAATGCAGGAGTCCCCGGTTCGGGAACTGGGAAGGGTTGGGAAGATCCACTGGAGAAGGGATAGGCTACCCACTCCAGTATTCTTGGGCTTCCCTTGTGGTTCAGCTGGTAAAGAATCCGCCTGCAACGCAGCAGACCTGGGTTCAATCCCTGGGTTGGGAAGATCCCCTGGAGAAGGAAAAGGTTACCTACTCCAGTATTCTGGCCTGGAAAATTTCATGGACTGTATAGTCCATGGCGTCACAAAGAGTCAGATACAACTGAGTGACTTTCACTCACTCAACATTAATATGATATATAAAAAATTTATTAGTTCAGAAAATAAAGGAGGAAAACAGAAAAAGATACCTCAGAATATTAATATACATGTATAAGCCTTCTTTTTTGGAGGGTTTCTATTTTTGATCATTATTGAATGTGGCACTTATCACTGCTAACTGTATTGTTATTTTCATTGTCTTTTCCTATTATTTAACCTCAAACCAGAGAACCCTATATTAACCTAGTGACTTGTTTAAATAAAACATGAGTCCTTGAAAATGATTTCAGATATTAAGTCAAAGATTTGTCAATTTCACCCTCTCTAGAAAAAATGGAAAATAAGTAGGGTGACTATAAAATATTTTCACAAGTTCTTTGACATTACTGTTTCAAGAGATGGAGCCTAATTCCACTTCCCTTGAATGTGGACTGACAAAGTGATCTGCTTCTGGTGAACAGAAAGTGGTAGAAGTGATGCAATGTGACCTCTCAGTCTCGGTGATAAGAAGAGTAGCTTTCACTTGTGCCTCAGGTGGCTGGCTGGCTGCCTGCTCGAGCAAAGGGAAGTCACCAAGCTGTGAGAATATTCTTAAGCAGCCTGCTGAGAAGTCCATGTGGAAGAGAACTGCGGTCTCCTGCCGATAATCAGGCCAACTTGCCGGCCATGTGACTGAGTCGCCTTGCAAGCAGAACTCCCAGTCCTGCTCATGCCTTCAGGTGGCTACGGCCCCAGCTGAGACCTTGACTGTGACAGACATCCACACTAGAAGCTCCCGGCTAAGCTGATCCTAAAGTCCTGACCTGCAAAGACTACAACTATTGTAGATGTTTATTGGTTGTGATGACAGGTTAACTCATTACACAGCAATGCAGCTCACCCTCTGTGCAGTCAAAAATCCATGTATAACTTTACAGTCAGCAGTCTGTATCCCACGTTCTGCATGTACAGATTTAAACTGTATATTCAGCCAATAGCAGATAGTATGGGACTGAATATAGTACATATTCAATGAAAAAAAATCTGTATATAAGTGGATCCATGCAGTTCAATCTCATGCTGTTCAAGGGTCAACTGCATATAGCTAGTATATTTAGTAAAGCATGCAAAAAGATAACATAAAATTTCACTTGAATATAACATCTAATGACTGCTGTTTATGGTAAGAATCAAGAATGTTACATTATGATGTAAAATAAAGTCAGCAAAATTTACTTTTCTCCATAAATATTAAGTGTTATGATAAAACAAGTATCAGAGAAAATCTCACCTTGCAAGTGACAACTCCAACGACCTGCCATGTATCTGCTATCTCTTGTTTATCATATTGCATGGAGTTTACCTTTTCAGTGATAGAAATAGAAACTTGTGGTTTTCCTTTGTATGTTCCAGTTTTCCAGGCTGGCTGTTTTTGTGGGTGAGTAACAGAAGCAAAATTAATATTGTCCAACGAATTCTGTAAGTTGGCATCTAACAAAGTGCCAAAGGGACAAGTTTGTAAAAGCAAGTCAGACAACTGGCTCAATTTGGTATTTAGCTCACTGTCATTTTTTTGACCCGAGGAAAGAAAATCCTGTACCCCAAAAAGAAGTTCAAAGCCTTGTGAAATTCCACTAATGCTAATTAATGGTGGACGAGGGGACAATGTTTGTTCAACCAGTGGAACACAAGCATATATCATGCCATTCTTTAGAAAAGCAACAACTGGCCAGAGTTCTTCACTTCCTACTGGGAGTCCATAAATGGATGTTTTATTGATGTGTGAGCAGCTATCACGACCCTCCAAAAAGTCCTTCTCATCATCCAACAATCTCAGTTCAAAAAGTAGGGCTTTCAGGAAGGGACCATCTTCAGGAACAGGCACATAACTTGCTCCATTGAAGACTTTAGCTCTTTTTTCAACAGTTGGATACCGTCTGCATCAATGGAAATAAAAACATAATTAATTCCTGCAAAAACTGGAAGTCCAAAACCAACACAAGGCAAATACTAACAAAACACAGAATAACAAACAAATACATACACTGACACATGAAAATCACAACCAAAAAATATTATATTAAACTCTTATGTACTTGATATATCTCAAATGATAAAGTACTATTTTCTTTTATTTTTAAAAATTGAATTTAGTTCATTTTTTAAATAGGTAGGATACCTATTTCTAATTCAAAATCCTAGTCTCTTGGGTATTCAGATTCTCACTTGGTAAGCAAGGCATGTATATGTTTAAAACATAAACACATTGTCATTTTCAAAACACAATGATACATTTTGCAGTGAAACTCACTTTTTTCCAAGTTAGTATACATGAAGCTACAGCTGTACAGTATTCTGTTGGGTTAAGGAACTATGATCTGTCTGGATTCCCATTGGTAGAAACATCACTTTTGTTATTACAGGTAAGACTGCAAAGAAGATTTTCTTGTCTTGTTTTTCCTTCCCTTTCTCTTTCCTTCCTCCCTCCTTCTCTTTCCAATTGAAGTATAATTTACATATAACATTGTATTAGTTTCAGGGAAGCAACATAATGATTTGATATTTGTATATGTTGCAAAACGATCACTGCAGTAAGTCTAGTTAACATCTGTCACCTTATATAGTTACACATTTTTTTTTCTTATAATGAACTTCCTGTCTTAGCAACTTCCAAATATGCAATGCAGTATAATTCAACTATAGTCACCATGCTGTACATTACAACCCTATGACTTACTTATTTTATAGCCATGTTTGTACCTTTTGATTCCCTTCATAAATTTTTCCCACCCCACCACAGGATATTTTTTCTGATTCCATCTTAGTAGAGCAGGATAGAAAAAAGTGGTTCAATTTAATCCTCCACATTAGGCATTCATTAGTACCCTGATTCTTCTTGCCAACCCCTACAAAAATATGTAAGGGCATTTTAGTAATAGTGGTTTATCTATATAGCCTTGGAAGATACTATGAGGTAACAAAAAGAATAAAATAAGAATAACCTTTTATGGTTTGAAAGCTCTATGCTGAACAGTAAGTTACTAATTCATCCCTTTTTGGGAGAAACAGGAGATACTTTTTGCTCATTTACAAAAATGTTAGGTCACATTTTCTTAATTAAAAAATAAAAGTACTTTCCCCTATTCCTTATTTCTCCACTCCAAAGTCCACAACAAAATCAATTATTTGCTATTGGTTTCTGTATAGGGTTTCCTTGGTGGCTTAGACGGTCAAGAGACCTGGTTCAGTCCCTGAGTTACAAAGATCCCCTGGAGGAGGCATGGCAACCCACTCAAGTGTTCTTGCCTGGAGAATCCCCATGGATAGAGAAGCCTGGCAGGCTACAGTCCATGGGGTCGCAGAGTCAGACACGACCAAGAGACTAAGCACAGCAAAGCTTTTGTATAAACTGCCTAACCTCCCAAAGTCTATTTCCTTATTTGTAAAACAAAGTATGGCTAAAGAACATAGAAGCAAAGAACACACCTAGCCAAAATGTTTTTCTACTAATTCTCTAATGCTACTAATATTTTATTAGTATAGGATAAATAAGTGACAGATGAATTATCTGAACCCAACTTATGGCCTTCATAGAGATGTTGAAATGTCCACCCAAACATATCTGAAGTTTTGTTTTGAAATATTCTGAGCATGGCAGGAAAAAACTCTGAAAACAAGAACAACTTCTTCAAGAAACAATTGTACACAGTATAAAAACCTTACCTCTACAAGATGTTAAAATAAGCTACAAAGCCACAGATATAAATACAATATGGTGCTGGCACAAGAACAGATAAAGTAACAGAACTGAGACAAATTGGTGTTTAAATAATTTTAAAAAAGAAAAATGAGAATGTATTCAAAGTTATTCATGTAATAGTGAACCTCACTCATTTACATTTTGATGTGTTTTCTTGACTGAGGAAAGGGAAAATTAAGCTCTTAAGTGTTCTCTTAAAATTCTAAGTGCAAGAATTTCATGACTGAAATTGTAAAAATAAGTCAGTCTGGGACCTTATGTGTGGTGCTAAATCGCTTCAGTTGTGTCCAACTCTTTGCAACCCTACAGACTGCAGCCCGCCAGGTTCCTTTGTCCATGGGATTCTCAAGGCAAGAATACCGGAGTGGACTGCCATACCCTCTTCCAGGGGATCTTCCCCACCCAGGGACCGAACCCAAGTCTCCTGCATTGGCAGGTGGGTTCTTTCACCACTAGTGCTTCCTGGGAAGCCCCCTGGGTCCTTTTATGATACCTTAATATGTGCTCAATAAATACTTTGTTGGATGACTCAATCTGTCTTTTCAGATTTATTCTAGGCCTTTTGTAAAGCAGGACTTGAACTTTAAATGGCCCCACAACTATAGGGAAAAATATCAACCTAAGCTAGACTTGAGGCTTCCCTTGTGGCTCAGATGGTAAAGCGTCTGCCTGCAATGGGGGAGACCAGGGTTCGATCCCTGGGTTAGGAAGATCCCCTGGAGAAGGAAATGGCAACCCACTCCAGTACTCTTACCTGGAAAATTCCACGGATTGAGGAGCCTGGTAGGCTACAGTCCATGGGGTTGAAAAGAGTCAGATACGACTGAGAGACTTCACTTAAGCTAGACTTGAGTGCTGCTGTTACTGTCTATCCAGACAGCAAATCTCTAAACCAGAATCTAAGTCAAGTTTTGTTGAGGGGAAAAAAGTAGTTAGAGAAAAGATCACTTGGATTCTCAAATCTTAAGTGATGGCCTTTATCCTTTGGCAAATATGTGGATAATACACATACCCATTTCACTCTAACTCTAGCCCCAAGAGGTCAGAAAACAGAAAAAAAAAAAAAAAAAAACCCACCTAATTAATTTGCTCAATGATACAAGATAAACAAGTGACAGATGAATTATCTGAACCCAACTTGCTGCTTTCATAGAGATGCTGGAAAGTCCACCCAAACATATCTTAAGTTTTGTTCTGAAATATTCTGAGAATGGTTGGAAAAAAGCCTGAAACAAGCACAACTTCTTCAAGAAACTAGTTATTGTATGCAGTACAAAAATCTTACCTCTATAAGATATAAAAATAAGCTACAAAGCCACAGATACAAAAACAGTATGGTGCTGGAAGAACAAAGTAATAGAACTGAGACAAACCAATGGAAGACACAACAAACTATCAAAACAGCCCACATATCAATGAAGAAAATTCATACTGTTTGGAAGATGATTCAGAAAAACTGGCCCATAGTACAGAGAAAAACGAAGTAAGATTCCTACTTAATATCACATCCAAAGACAGACTATAGATGGATTAAAGGCCTAAATATAATAAGTAAAATGACAAAGTCAAGAGAAAATAATGTAGGAAGACGTTTTGGGCTATAAAGGTACAGAAAGACTACAACAAATCCCCTAAAGGGCTAACTACTATGTAACAAAACTAAGGGTTTCTGCTTAACCAAAGTAATGAAAAGTTCATTGACCATGATAATAAGTTAAAATCAAGTATCTGTAATAGCGAAAAATGACATAGGACTAATATCAAGATTACAGAACGAACTCCCAACAAGTTACCAGGAAAAAGCCAGCAAATCTCAAAGAAAAACAAAGAATATGTATAGGCAATTCACAGAAAAGGAAAGCCTAAGGGCTAACATCATTGCTGCCATAGAGAAATGCAAATGAAAGTAAGATATTATTTACACCAATACTGGCAAAAAGTGCAGTAAGTGTTAGAAAAGAATAGAGATAGTGATGGTGAGAGTGTAGACTGTTCAAAGTATTCTGAGGAGCTAATTATTTGGTAGTAGTCCAAATCAGTATAGATATGTCTTATGTAACTGAGGTTATCTACTGCAGCATGGTTTTGATAGCTGAGTTGGAGGCAATTTGGGAGATCATCAGCAGGAGAAGGGGATATGTAAAATGTGGCAGATGGAAACCCTGGAGTACTACAGAGCAAGTAGAAACAATGGCCTAGATCTGCACTATCCAGTATAGTAGCTGCCAGTCTTACATGGCTTTTTAAACTTAAAATGAAACAAAATTAAAAACTGAGTTCCTTAGTTACAATAACTACATTTCAAAAATTCAACAACTACATGTGGCCAGTGGCTACAATTTAGACATTTAGATTAAATCTTATAGATTTAGAACATTTCCCATTTCCATCACTGAAGTGGTGGACAGTGATGCCCAAGATGAACACAAAGTAACCTGGATATTTCTTAAAAATAGGGCCGAGAAGACTTCCCTGCTGGTCCAGTGGTTAAGAATCTGCCTGCCAATGCAGGGGACACAGGTTTGATCCCTGGTCTGGGAAGATCCCACATGCTGTGGAGCAAGTAAGCCCTTGTGCCACAACTACTGTGCCCTAGAACCTGCAAGTCGCAACTACTAAAGCCTATGTTCCGTAACAAGAGAAGCTACCACAACGAGAAGCCTGCACACCACAACTAGAGAGTAGTTACCACTCACTGTGAGTAAAGAAAGCCCACACAGCAAGGAAGACCCAGTGCAGCCAAAAAAAAAAAAATTATCCTGAGAAATCTGACAAATGTTAAGAAATGGGAATGACATCTGTATCGTTAAATTATATAATTTAAATATATATGAACATACAAAAGCATAACACCAATCATATGAGGTAGACAAATGGCAGACATAAAGATACCAAAGGGAATATATAATTAAGCAGGAGTATCTGGAAAGGATGGGCCAAAAAGGTTGATGAACCATATTAAAGATTATAAATAACCTCCTGAGATACAACAACAACAAATGTAAGCCAAGTATCCCTGAGAAAAAGGTAAACTCCAAGTCTCTATGTCTCCAGTAACAGAAATAGTTTAGGTAGGAAAGACGGAATTATTCATATTCACATTACCTACCACTTTTCACTTAACATACACTCATCTTTATCAGCCTCAATCTAGATTCAGAGCTAGCTAATAATACTTCACTATAGAGCTTTTCTCAGGGAAGAATGAATGTTTACAAAAACTGCCCACCACGGAGAATAAAAGGTGAAACAAGTTACTCAAATGACGCCCATATTTTACAATGAGTTAAGGTACGTGTAACTCTCTTCACAGTTATTTTGATAAAACGTGGCGAATTTTATATAAGTGGCACTAGATCAGCTTATACCATTTTAAAAAAAGTGAATTCAGTTTAATATTTTTGTATTTTTTTCAATTTTCAACAATTAGGAAGTTTAGAAGTAAACAGAATTTCTAGGAATTAAACATAAGAAGCTGAAAGTAACAGTCTGATACTGCCCAGCAAGGACTTTCCTGAAGAATGCATTAAAATGTCCTTGCACGATTTTTATTAACAAAAGTAGAAAAATCTGAAACATTTACTGCTCAGAAAGTTTCCTTTCCTTTTGTCACCTCTGTACCAATCTTACGCAGGTGGTAAGGCTGGTAAGATGGTAGGGCTTCGCTGGTAGCTCAGCTGGTAAAGAATCCGCCCGCAAGGCGGGAGACCTGGGTTCGACTCCTGGGTTGGGAAGATCCCCTGGCCAAGGGAACGGGTTACCCACTCCAGTATTCTTGCCTGGAGAATCCCATGGACAGAGGGGCCTGGCGGACTACAGTTCATGGGGTCGCAAACACTCGGACACGACTGCGCGATTTTCACTTCACTTTACTCAGGAGAAAATGTGCCAGGCATCAACTCATTTAATTCTCACAACACTATGAGGTAGTATCACAGTCTCCACTTATTAATAACACGTTATAAGGGTTAAGTAACTTGCCCAGGTGTTGGACCAGGGATGCACAGTATCACAAAACTATGCTACACTATCCATCCATCCTATCTATCACGCCTAAGGATACAGACTTGCATTTACCTGGAGAATTTGACAATGCCACAAAGTGGAGTTCCTGGTTCGTGGCTTATAAGCCACACTGCCCGCTGGGCCATGATAAGCCACTAAGGCATCAGCTTATCACTAAGGTGGCCACCGAGGCAGAGCGCAGGCGGGCTTTCTCAGGCGTCTTCAGAGCCACCTTCTGCTCCACTGAAAACAGATTGGGCTCAGCTGAGAAGCTAACTCCTTCAGGCGAAGTGACTAAAACCTTCGAGTCTGTCCGGGACAACACACGCCACAAAAAGTTCTGTGAATCCGCACTTTAATTCCTCATAAACTTATCTTCACCAGACCAACTACCTTCTTTCTCCCGAGCCCACTTCCGGGACGGTGGCCCTCAAGGATCACGATTCCTCACTCGCTCGCGCGGGGAGCCTTTCTGCAGTTCGCCCGCTGCTCGCCTCCTCGCCGGCCCCTCCCAACAGCCGCCCTGGTGCGCGCAGCTCCACTTCCGGCGTACGAGGCGGTGACAATGGGAGCGGCGCGGGCGGCGCCGGGAGGCAGCTGACAGGCGTCTGCGACTTCGCTTCATGGCCGTTCTCCCGCCCCGCCTGGGCTCTGTGGGGAGCGGGGCGGCCCGCAGCGGCCGGGAGCCGAGGCTGGCGAGCCGAGCGGGGACCTGTGTACCGCGCCGCTGAGGCGCAGCATGTGAAGCGGAGACGGCATCCAGTGCGAGGCGAGCCTCTCAGCCGGCCGGGATGGCCACGACGGCCGAGCTCTTCGAGGTGGGTTCTTACGGCTCTTCAGGGAAGGGCAGGCCCGGGGTGCAGGCAGCGAGGTGGGTGGGCAGAGGAGTGGGCGTTCGCCGCTGCCCGGGAGCAGCCGAACGGAAGGAAGGTGCGAAGGCGAAGGAGTGGGGTGGTGGCTCGGGTGTCGGCGCAGGCGGAGCGTGAAAGGGGGGAGGGGTGGCTTGGGGCCCCGGGTAGGGAGGTGCGCAGGGGTGCGAGCCAGGAGTCCTAGTAGAGCAGCATCAGCTGGAAGGGAGCCTCGGAGTCTGGGCTTTGGAAGATGAGCTCGGGACGGGACGGGCTGACTTAGGGCGCGGAAGGAGGAGGCTGACCGTCTGGCGAGTTCTGTCTTGTCGCCTGGATCCCCGCATGATATTCGGGGGCGGGGGGGGGGCTTGAGATTGGGACGACAAGGGGGCTTCTTGTGGTTGAGTGATGACTTGGTTAGCCAGTGTTGGAAGCGGCACTTTACCAATTTACCCTTTCATTTGAGAAGGCTGTAGTCTTTTTTTAGGACAATAGAGGCCTACTAAACCCTTCCCACTGAAGAAAGTCAGAACTAAAACTAACGTTTGTGTTCAGGTCTTGAGGAGTTGGAAGTGTAACATAACTTAACCCCCCTCAACTGCTAGTTTGAGAATCCTTAACGTGTGAGACATTGACATTCTAATGTGTTTTCTGGACCGTTTTCAGTCTCTAAAACTTAAAATTGAGCTAAGGGGAATCCAGTGTGAGAAGCTGTGATGCTTGAGATAATAGAAGAGGAAAATTCTAATTGGACCACGTAACAACAGGGTATCTCCTTTTGTGAAAGAGATGAAAGCTCAGATGTGAAGGAAAGAGAAGGATGGACCCTTTTTGTGTGTACTTATGTTTCATACTGAGTAACAAAATGTAGGTAATAATTAAGAAGACTATATTTAAGTCAATAATTAAGTTGACAATAGATAATTTCTCCATAGGTGACAATTGGATTCTTTTTTCTGCGTAAGATTCTGCAGGCTTTGTTTTGTTATTTTGGGTTTGTTTGTGTGTTTTCTTTTTTTTTTGGCTTAAAATTTGAATGCCATAGCTTTTGTAACAACTGGGAACTTTTCATTTGTGTTAATATAACTATATTTTGGATTTCTGTCAGCTTTTGGATAGATACTGCATTTGTTGAGGAATAGTGTATGCTATTGTTATAATAAATTGTAATAAAAAGTAATTTGTGAGTGAAAGAGTATAATTATTAGAAAGAATTGGAAAATATTAATTATATTTCCTCAGATTTAAGTGTAGGGACATATATTTATTGCGTTAATTTCTCTAACTCCAAAATTGTGCCATTTGTTTATTGATTGACAGGAGCAGGGAGACATTCTTTTTGCTAAAAGCTTTTACTGTGTGTTCCTGAGCCAGATACTAATTTATGAAGTTGAAATCTTTAATGAAATAGGGAACCAGCTAGCTGTTAATATGCAGAAAACTGTTAACTTTGTCATACCGTTCATAAGATATTAACCTTTGAATTCCCAGTTGTCTTTTTTTCTTTAAATGTTTGATCGTATGAGTCCACATATACTTCCTTGAAAATGTATTTGATTTCTGTTCCACATGGGGGAAGGAGAGGAAGTAGGGAAATATGTGTAGTTTATTTTGCTTTCTAATGTCTTGGCATTTAATAAGGTAGTTAAACTAAATTAGGGTCTGAGTTAATGCAATGACTTCAGTTATGAGAGCAGGTAATAATTAACAGTGATGATACATACAGCGAGTCCTATGTCCACGGGGTTTATAGAGTGCCCTCAATTGAACATGCTTGTGGGTCTTAACACATGCGACTTTCTCTTTGCTGACCATGTGTAGCTTGTTGCTTCGTCAAAATTAAAAGCATATTACATTAATAGTTACAATTAAATGTTAATAGGAATGATAAGTATATTTATCTTTTCAGCCTTACAGTGGATTCTGCCCTTGAGTAAGTTTTCACTGCTAAGTGAAAAGTTGGTCTCTTTGTTTTACAGGGAGAAGAAAAAAAAGAAAACAAGAACCAAACTGTTGCTTTTGCCTTAAAACATAGGTTGTATGACAAGTCAGGGAGTGCCTTTTTATCTGTTATTTTCCTTCCTTAGTCACAGCTGGAGAACTAGGGAAAACAGGTTAGGATGTAGTCAAGGATATTTAGTTTTTATGCATTCTGGCTTTCATGCACCAATAAATTGAATTGTGCCTTAATTTTTTCACACTGAGAAAGAAGTTAAAGCAAGATTATGCTTTTAATCTGTGAAATGTCTTAAGTGTTAACCCTGTTTCTTTTAAAGTCTTATTGATCCTGCGAGACTTCCTTTTTAACATAAACACCTTCATATAACAAAAGCGAACTACAAGATATTTCCTCAGTTGACAGAAATGATTTAAAAGTTCTGTCTGCAGTATTTCTAAATGATCACCTCAGGATGGACATTCTAAAAAGAGTTCATATATGGTTTGTGTTATGTCCTCTACACATAAAAAGTGGCTGGGATAGTAAATTTTTTCTCTGTTGTCCTAAGTATTCCCCTCTTTTCACTGCATTGCTGAGAACTTTGTACTCCCTTTTCACTTGGTATTTTTCTCTGCTGTCATTGTTCTGGAGTTTTCCCTTCTGCTTGGGCAAGTTGCCTTTATGGGAGGATTCTTCGTTAAGCAGAGTCTGTTGAGTACCTACTAAGTTAATGAGGCATCATGTCTCAAAGAATTTGCTATAGACATATTAATCCTATGAGATGTGAAGCAAAAAACACAACTGGTTCAGAGCTCGAAGAAGTTTGGGGTGTGGGCATGCTTCGTTTCCTTAGAGATTTTCAATATTCCTTGGTATGTTAAATATTTTAAGAAGTTCATTTCCCAAACTTCTTTGACCATGAGAATGTTTTATTTTCTACTGTTAATTTTGTGAATTCCATGGAACATTGGAAAATGTTGAATTTATTATAGAACTTGCCCTTAATGTTAAATAGGGGGAGAGAAGAAAGATATATAGCTACATACTCTTGAAATAAAGTTATAAATGGTGTCAGAGGTCTAGGTAAAGTGCTATAGAAGTTGAAAGAATAGGAAGATTACCTCTAGAAGTGGGAAAGGATTAGAAAGTGGCATTTGAATGAAATACAAAGCATAAATTAAATTTGAGTTTGTGGAACTGGGTGGAAGGACATTCCAATAAAGCAGGCCATCCAAGTGTAGACCCCCAAAACAAGGGAAGAGATCATCTTAGTTCATGAAGTATAGTATGCATGAAGAAGAGGAGTGGCATGTAAGGTAATTGGAGTTTTTAATTGTCGAGGTTCTAAATACCAGGATTAGGAATTTGATTTTTTTTTCTTTTTTGTAAATGTGGATGTGTTAATAATAGTGTTTGAAGTTAGGTAATTTGACTGTGGTGACAATGGCTCTTTGACTTCCAGATTAGAATTTGAATAGTGAAGAACACATTTGTATAAAAACATATTTATGTCTCTCAGATTTATAAATTAAGTTACACAGACTGAAGACTTATTAAAAAAGACTTAATTCTGTTGTTCAATTAACTAGTTAGTAATGAACATGAAATATACAAGTAAGGACCACTCCTTTACTTTCAAGATGTTGATATGCTACTTGTTTTAGCCATATTAGCTACTAAATACATATTTATGGAACTTGGCCACCAATTATAGTATCATGTATATGAGAAAATGGATTCATTCAGTAAACATTTAGCTTTCCTTGCCTTACCTACCCTAGGCCAGAAATCCTTCCAGGTACTGGAATTAAAAGACGGTTTGAGTTAAAAATCTAGTTGAGGGAGTGAAAGAAAAAAAAAACACCACCTTTCTTCTCTCAACACTTTACCATTACTCTCAGTATTGCTTCACTTCTGACACCAGATGTATAGGGATGGGAATTTTTTTCCCACAACAATTCAGTTTTGCAACAGACACTGACTGGGTTTTCTATAATTCATTCTAATTCTGATACTGTTTACCTGGAGTTAGCTTAAGTCCCACAAAGGGCTCAAAGTTAAGGGTTCAGTCTCAGAAAAATGCCCCCACTTTGGAGACCAATGTTGTCATCTCTGTTTCTGATCCACCAGCCATAAATTGGAGGTTCTCATGACCTCCTCTTTGGGTTCAGTAGTTTGCTAGAATGGCTCACACAACTCAGGAGAACAGTTTAGTAACTAGATTACTGGTTTATTAAAAAGCTCAGGAACGAGAAGGAAGAGGTGCATGAGGCAGAATATGGAGAAGGAGTACTGCACTGTCGTTCTCTCCTTGGGTATACCACCCTTCTAGCAACTTGATGCGCTCCACAACCAGGAATTTCTCTGGACCCCACACTTAAGGGATTTTTATGGAGATTTCATCATGTAGAGAATCAATGATTTGTTCATTCTCTAGCCCTTCTCCTCTTCACAGAGTATAGAGGATGAGGCTGAAAGTTCTGGGCTTCTAATCATGCTTTATCTTTCTGGTGACCAGCCCCCACCCAGGAACCCACCAAGAGTTGCTTCAGTAGAGCCAAAGGTGCTCCCAGGAGATTTCAAGAGATATAGGAGTTCTGTGTAAACCACTCCTATCAACTTCGTCACTCAGCAGATTAGAAGAATTTTAGGAGGACTGTGTCAGGAACCAGGATCAAAGACCACTGGAACAAAAGCTCTCCTGGCACGCTTACC